TTTTTGTTAATATGGTTCTGTAGTATGTGTTGAAATCGGGTGTTATGATATTTCCCACTTCAGTTTTTCTTGCTTAGGATTGTTTTGTCTACTTAAGGACTTTTATGCTTACATATGAATTCTAGGTTTTGTTTTTCTACTTTTATAAGGAATGTTATTGATATTTCAGTGGGGATTGCATTGAATCTGTAGATTGCTTTGGATTGTATGGACACTTTAACAATTTTCTCTCTCCCAATCCATGAACATGGGAGGTCGTTCTACCTTTTAGTATTTCTTCTTCAGCTTCTTTAGGGTTTTTTAATTTTGACTGTAGAGATCTTTTACATCCTTATTTAGGTTTATTCTTAGTTTTTTTTTGTGTGTGTGTGATTCCTGTATTATTTTCCTTATTTCTTTCTCAGTTCATTATTGGTGTATAGAAAAACTATTGGTTTTTGAGTGTTTTTATATCCTCTTATTTTACTGAACTTGTTTATCATCAGTTCTATTAGTCTCTTGTTGGAGTCTGTTTTTCCATGTATAGAATCATATCTTCTACAAACAGGGATAATTTGACTTCGTCTTTTCCCATTTCCATACCTTTTATTTCTTCAATTGCTTAAATTTCTAGTACTATATTGAATGGGAGTGGTGGGAGTGAGAACCCTTTTCTTATTCCTGATTTTAAAGAAAATGCTTTCTGTTTTTCTCAAGTATGATGTTGGCTATGGGTTTGTCATATATAGCCTTTATTATGTTGAGACATTGTCCTTTTGTGCCTGATTTATTATGGTTTTTATCATATAGGAATGTTGAATTTTACCAAATGCCTTTTCTGCATCTATCAAGGTGATTGATTTTTATCCTTGGTTCTATTTATGTGCTGTATTTTGCTTATTGAATTATGTATGTTGAGCCATTCTTGCATCCCTGGAATGAAAACCCACTTGATCATGGTATACTGTCTTTTTAATGTGCTGTTGAATTCTATTTGATAGTATTTTGTTGTTGTTGTTGTTTTTTTTTTTTTGTATTAGGTTATAGTTTTCTTTTTTACGTGTGTATGTCATCTTTGTCAGGTTCTGGTAGCAGGGTAATACTGGCTTCATAGAATGAGTTTAGATGAGTTCTCTTTTCAGGTTTTTAGTACAGTTTGAGAAGCATTGATATTATTCTTTAAAAGCTTGGTAAAATTCAGAAGTGAAGACCTGGGATTTTTCTTTATTGGGAGATCATTTACTTAGTATTGATTAAGTCCCATTACTTGTTATTGGTGTAGTTAGGTTTTCTGTATCCTTTTGGTTCAATTTTGGTAGGTCATATGAGTCTGGAAATTCATCCATTTCTTGTTGATTTTTTTCCAGCTTATTAGCATGCCATTTTTCAGCATATCCCTTCATGATCTTTTGAATTTCTGTGGTTTCAGTTATAAATTCTTCTTTTTCGTCTCGAATTTCAAGTCTTTAAATTGTTCTGTTAGTCCCTATTCCATTTATTTCGGCTTATTTCTTTCTGTGTACTGATTTTGGGTTTGCTTATTCTTGCTTTTCTAAGACCTTAAAATGCATTGTTATGTGAGATTAATTTTTTGATGTAGGCACTCATTGCTTTAAACTTTGCTTTTAGAATTGCTTTTGCTGTAGACCATAGGTTTTGTTATGTTGTATTTGAGAAATTTTAAAAAAGTTTGATTTTTTTTTTAAATGACCCACCAATCGTTCAAAAGTGCATTCTTCAATATCCATGTGTTTGTACCTGTGTTTCTACATTTCTCTTGTTGTTTTCCAGTTTCATTCCATTGTGATCAGAAAAGATGAAGGATATCATTTCATTTGTTTGACTTTAAGACTTGATGTGTGGGCTAACATATGGTGTATTATAGAAAAAGTTTTCTACACTGAAGAAAAGAATGTATATTTTGCTTGCAGATATGGAATGGAATACTCAGTAAATGTTCACTGTATTTGGTTTGAAGTGTAATTTAATTTTTGTTTTTAATAGAAGATCTATCTTGATGACAGTGGGATATTGTTTACATTTTCATTTGATTTGGGAAATTGAAGTCTTTCACTGTTATTGTATTAGGACCTGTCTCTTTATGTTTAGTAGAGTGTTTCACAAAATTGAATGCTCTGATATTTAGTGCATATAAATTTGTAATCAAATACACAATACTTTTAATTATTATTATTTTTTAATGTGGTGCTAAGGATTGAACCCAGCGCCCCACGCATGCCAGGCGAGTACGTTACTGCTTGAGCCACATCCCCAGCCCTCATTATATCTTCTTAATGCAGTATTCTGTTTATCAATGTACAGTGACCTTCTTTGTCTCTCCTTGCAGTTTTTGTCTTTAAGTTAATTTTGTTGCGTGTAAATATAGCTGCTCCTGCTTGCTTTGGAATATCATTGGCTTACAATATAATGTTTCATGTTTTCCTTTTCAGTATGTGTATGTTTTTACAGGTAAGATGAGTTTCTTGTAACAGCATATGTTTTGGATCTTGTTTTAAAAATCCATTCTGCAGACCGTTTCGTTTGTGGGTTTTTTTTTGTTTTTGTTTTTGTTTTTTGATGTACGGACTTGTTCCTGACATTCTGTTGATTTTTCTTATTGTTTTAAATACTCTTATTTCCTCTTCTCTTAGGGGTTTGATAGTTTATTGTATTGACTTGATTTTTTTTTCTATTTTTTGTGTAGTTGTACTTATTCTTTCTTGTGCTTTTATGATGGTAAATATCTTTCTATTCTGAGTGTAATATTCATTTAAGCATCTTTTGTAATACTGATCTAGTGAACATGAATTCCTAAAGTTTACACCTATCTTTGAAGGTCTTTATTTTTTCTTTGTTTATGTATGATACCTTTGGTAGGTAATCATGGTTATGTTTGTTGACATTTATTTTCCTTCAGGAATTGAAATACACCATGTCTACCTGGTCTGTACTATTTCGCTTGAAAAATCTGATAGGTTAATAGGTTTTGCTTGGAAATGTGACTTGCTGGCATTTCTTTCTTGCAAATTACAGGTTTTTGTTTTTTTTTGTCCTATGTATTTTTTGACAGTTTAAATTATGGAGAGAATCTTTTGTAGTCACATCTGTTTGTGGTTCTGAATGCCTTTTACTCTTGAATGTCCATATCTTTCCCAAGGTTCCGGATTTTTTTCTGCTATTATTTCATTGAATAAGTTATCTATACGCTTAATTTTTACTTTTTCTCTTTTTGGTGTACTTATGAGATGGATGTTTAATATTTTAAAGCTTTCCCAGATATTTTGAATACTCTCTTCATTTTCTTTATGTAATATTTCAAAATAGCTGTCTTCAGGCTCTGATAGTCTTTCTTTCACTTGATCTCATTTGTTGTTGAGGTCTTCAACTGAATTTTTAAAGTCTGACTTACTGCGCTTTTCATTTCCAAGATTTCTGTTTGGTTTTATTTGAGAATCTCTCTATTGAATTTCTTGTTCAGATACCGTTTTGCGTATTTCATTCAGCTTTTTCTGTGTAATCTCTTAGATTGCATTGAGCTTCTTTAAAACTTATTATTTTAACATTTTATCTGACATTTTATCCACTTCAGTGTCTTTGGAATCTAGTCCTAGAGAGTTTAACTTTAGTAGTTGTCATATTACTTGTTTTTTTCCATATTTCTGTGTTTCTAAGTTATATGCACATCTGTTTGGATGGGTGTTTGCTTTTATGTGATAACCTTCTTGGAAACTGGCTTTCTCCTAATGTGTGTTGGGGTACCAGTCTGTAATGTAATGTTGTTTATTTCCCACTAGACACCATAATGTAATCTCCTTGTAGCTTCTTTGGCTGTAATTCATTTTTTGGGGGGTACAGAACATACTGTATTGTGATTGGAGAGAACCACTGTCGTGGTAGGTCTTGGAAGTAGCAATTCAGGCAGATATGACATAGACAGCAGGGTATGTGGGGTGCATCCTCTCTGATTAGTCTGACAATAGGAGTGGTAGCCCCATCAGGGTTTCAGAGTTTCCACAGGCACTGTTGATACTGGCTTAAGTTACTTAAGAGTGATACTGATGTTGTTTGCTCTTGTCATGGGGAAGGGCTCTTGTTCTCTAATTGGATATTGCTGCAGATCCAGTTGCTTCATGGATAGTGGTGGGAACCAGGGAATCACAGTTCCTCCTCTGTAACACTCATCTGTAGTATTATCAATAATGTATGATCTGACAATGTATGTATATGAACTGTGTAGAGGCTCTATGTAGGTGCTGTATCAGCAATTATTTGTCCCTCTCTCTTCTCCTACTGTAAAGGTGACCGCTTGGTTGTGGGACCCACACCAGGTGCCACATAATTTATAGAATGATAGCTTTCATCATTCTTTTACTCTTTTCTCATCAAAACTTGTTCTTCAGTTTTTAGTGACCAGGTAACTGGTGAGTCCTGAAGTTGTAGTGTCAATATTTCTTCTGCTTTTCTTTACTGTCTTTAGACAGTTACATGTGAAAAAGATAATTAAGTCAGGCTTTTACTCTTCCTCCTTTACATTTTATTTTGTATAAGAAAATTAAGCAGTACATTTATTTAAGCATCTGTGAAAGAAATAAATAATTTAAGTAACACAGCTATCTTTTAATAAAGTGCTTGAATGTTTCATGTTTTTGAAATTTTTTTACTGAGGAGATTTAACTGTATTAATTGAAGAAAACATGTATTTTATGTGTATTTGAAAATCAAATAACTGTATTGTCTTCAACTTAAATTTATAATATGGAATTTTCCCCAAAGCACAGAATGTACTTTGTGTTAAAATGGATTAGCCTATTCCTTGGACAGTCTATAAGAAGACTAATGTATGCTTTTTAAATACTATTATTTCAATAAGCCAAATGGATATTTGATACTTGCTAATTTTTAATGTACTTTTGTTCTTAATTTAATGATGAATCTAGAAGAGTTTAGATTTAGTAAGTGATCTATAACATAAAACCATTGCTACATACCTCTAAAGTGAATTTCTTTCTAATCATTTCCAGTGCCAGTTTTACACTCCATTTGCCGTCAGTGAAAATGTGGGCGGCAGATACACCACGTATTTATCATCACTCGAGTTCACCATATCATACAGGAAAAGTACGTTTGTATGCCGCACAGAAAATCTTAACACACATAAACAACCACTTAGCATTTTTAAGAACATATTCGACTTATTGATTAGCTTAAATATCTTTAGTTGAGTGAGACACCCATGTAGATTGCATACATTCACTGGCTTTTCAGAACAAGTGCTGCTTATACTGATGAGTGAGCCTTGTCTTTATATGTCAGACCTTATACAGTTTTCCCTTTTCCATTGGAATCCCTTAATTTTGACACCATTAAATTATTCTCAGGGTTCTTCAGATAAAGTGCACTCTGGAAAACAATTTTTAAAGCCTTGTTTGCATTTACTTATGTTTTGTGTTCTGAGTCTCTTTTCCTGAAGTTTATGGTGCTCTTCTTAGTGCCAGGCCCATGCTAGAGTTGGGGGAGGGAGCATGTCACTTTTCCTGATTTATCTCTATCTTCTTCTGTAGGTACTTTCCTTTTTATTTTGCTCAAATCAGATTTTAAAATGTATATTCTTTTTCTCACTGGAATAGTTTACTAAAACTAGGAAATATCAAAATAATGTTAGTTTACATACATACTGACCTAACCTTGAGACAGTGGTACTGAGAGGTAATATAGATGAGAAGAAAATGACGAAAGTAAATGTTTTCAATATACAGGATAAAAAAAATGTGAATTCAGTTTTTCTTTTAGTCTTTTATGAGCATTAACTTTGGATACAGTCCAGAATCAGTATATTTTAAAAGAAAAATGTTCTAGCTACCTCTGAACAATATAGAGCTAGGAGCTTAAAAGTCTGATAGTTCCCCCCTCTCATTTGTATCCTAACAAATCCTAATCTCTTTGAAAAATCTTGGAAGGAACCCAACAACACAAAAACAAACCCACGAAACCAAAAACCCAATAATTTAAAGTTATAATTCCTTTATACACTTAAGACCCTGCTTGTTCAACAACCTTAGGTAAAATTTTTTAAAGCGTGCTGCTCCTCTCTGGGCATTGTGTCTGTCTTAAGTCATTCTTTCTGGAATGCAACTATCTTAAGACAGTCATTCCCATTTAATTTTAATTAATTTCCACAAGTGTACTTGTGGAATTTGTTAAATAGTATAGCATACCCTTCAGTCTCTATTATCGGTTTAAGTTTTTTAATGATTACATCTTCATAGAGCACACTAAAATCTGTACCTCTAGTATCATGTTAACATTTCTCCTTTTCCTACCATTTCAGGATATCTTGATTCTCCTCACAGTGAATGTCTGGAACCAAAGGCATCATCTTTTACCTAACCTGTTTTCACCAGCCTCTTTTCTATTATCCTTTAGGGTCTTCATCTGACAGGTAGGAATTTACTTTTTCCTTTTCCCTCACCCATTATATCTGATTTGTCAGTATATGATTTTAGTTTTTGCCCTTGACAGTTCTGTACCATTTCCAAAAGTCTGCTCCTTTGACAACCCTGTTCCTGAAATACTTCAGAAATCTTTGTAAGATATCAAATATGTTCCATATATTGCTGTCAGTTTAATCTGCCTAAAAGCATTGCTTTTACCCCCTCACTCTCCTCTTTAGGAACTGTCAGTGGTCCCACTTTGTCCATAGATAAAAATTTGTAATCTCCAACTTTGTATTTAAGGTTCTCACATAAATTTATCCTAATGTATTTTTGTTATGGTTTGGATATGGAATGTTTCCCAAAGGCTCGTATGTTGAAGGCTTTATCCCAATGCAGCAGTGTTCAGAGATGGGGCTCTTGGGAAGTGATTGGATCATGAGGGCTCTGACCTCATCAGTGGATTAATTCATTCATAGATTTATAGAAGGTTGATGGGAATTTTAAGAGGCAGACTTAGTTGGAAGGAGCAGGTTACTGGTAGCATACCCTGAAAAGGATATATCTCAACTCGGCACCTCCCTACCTTGATTCCTGGCTGCTGTGAGGTGAACAGCTCTACTTCACCATGCCCTGCCTGCCTTGATGCTCTGTTTGCCAAAGGCTCATAGATTGAAATCAAGAGCCAAGATAAATCTTTGCTCCTTTGTTTTTCTTTCATATTTTGTCAGTGATGAAAAACTTACAACTGTGTAGGCTTCCCCCCCCTTTTTAGTAAAAAAAAAGAAAAACAAAACAAACCAAAAATTGTTCTCATTTTTGTCATATACTGAGCACATTTCTGTATTTCTATATTCTTCCTCACTTACATCTTTTTTTGCTCCTTTTATTTCTTTTTCCTCATCCATTGGTCACATACTTTTTATTTCTAACTCCTCTGAAATTTCTGAGTGGTGTGCACCACTATGAATTTTCTGAATTCCTGTTTCCTTTTTTGTTACTCAGAAGGTACTTTATTATTTTTATTTTCACTTGAGTTGAGGTCCTGCACTGCTAACTAGATTTTAAGGAACAAGAGGAGGTACCATGTTATATTCCTTTGAATCTTTTTCAGGCTAAGTACAATTCATTACAAATGCTAACTCACTTTTTCCATAAATATTGATTGTCTGCACTCAGGCAGCGTTGATAAAGACCTAAGAGAGCTCTGCTTTCATGAACTTTATATTCTGGAAGAGAGAGAGAGAGGTCCTATACCTACTTTCATTTACCTGTTTAATGACAATTGAGGAACATTTTTTTAAATTAACTTTTTTGATGAGCAAAACCCAGTAAATAACTTCCCTTTTTTTGTGCTGTCATTGGAATATATAATTTTTCTTGTTTTAAATAAATTTCAACAGGGTAAATTATTTTTAAAATTACAGTTTTTCAGTGGTCAAATTATTCTCTTCTTCTAAATATATGTAATACTGATATATTCTATGCTTAAATGAATTCAGTGGGCAAAATAATGGAATGATTAGTATATTCTCCACATTTACACAGTGGTAGTAAATAAATATTGTTTGTGTTATATAAATATATATGAAATAACTAAAAAATGATGACAGTATTTTAAAAGGAAGATTCCTTGAACTCAAATGATTAGCACTTCTTCATTAATATACTAAAACTCTTTCATAATAGAATAAGACTAAAAGTACATACATTATTAGATACTTTATTTTTTAAAATATTTTTTAGTAGTAGTTGGACACGGTACCTTTATTTTTATGTGGTGCCGAGGATTGAGCCCAGGGCCTCGCATGTGCTAGACGAGTACTCTGCCACTGAGCCACAATCCCAGCCCCAGATACCTTATTATTTTAGATTTAATATTTATTTTAGTAGCTAGAATAGCATCACATATTTCATAGGTATGATTTTTTTGAGGTTGTTAGAACTATAGAAAGTTAATGTTAAAAGAAGGGCAAAGTATGCAGTAAAACTAAAAATTATTGTATTTGCAAATGTAAAATCATAATTTACATAAATGTTACAGTTAGGAACATTATGAATGTAAATATGCCTTCTCTATTCTCAGTCCTATAATGCCATTCTTTGTCCAGTGGGAGATGAAGAGTGATGTTGAGACTGCTGCTTAACCTATTATAAGCTTTAAAAAAATTAAATAGCATTGATGTAAATCTGAGAGGGAGAAGAGTATTTATCTCCATTAAATGACATGAAAAGCAATGGTAAGAATAACAGGCTGGTGGGTGTGCATTAAAGAGTGAAATCCCTAAATTCACATGCTAATTATAAGCACAAGGACAATTGCCTCCCACATACTTAACTGTTGTATATTTTTTTAGTCAGAGTGTAATTTAGAGTTCTTGTCTTTCTAAATATGGCTTTTAGTTTTTCATTTCACCTTTGCATATATATTTACAAAAACACAATTGCTGGTCCCTGATTTTGATGCATATTGGTGGGATATTAACCCAAATGCTACAGAAATAATTCACGTGATTGTTCCTAGATTATTGTTACTATGTGCCTTACCTGCTTGCTTCCTTTTATTAAAAAAAGTTTAGTGGTAAAATTAAAATCATTTCAACATATTTGATCCCATTTTACTTGCTGTGGTGTACCAATGACTTTAAAGCTTAGATGGTGGAAAGATGCATTGGTGGTAGTATTAAGAGTATGTTTGTTTAGATTATTAGTTTTAAAAACTGATTTTGGTCATGGTCACTGTTGTTTTGTCATAAAAGTACTATATTATGCTTTATTTTACAGTTTTCACAATTTCAAGTATTTGAGAAAGTTTTCTGTGAAGCTTATATAGTGCCTTTTGATGCCAGTTTTGTAGTATGTTTTTTTGATTGTTAAAAGGTATGTAGATAGACTGTATGTAGAAGGTTGCTGGCTTTTACATTATAGAGTAGTAGGAAAAGCATAATAGTACTAAATTATTTTTAAAACTTTGTTTTTAGAAATAAAAATAAAAAACCCCACCCTTTTGTAATCTTGCCATTTTTTAATTCTTAGGTTTGTTTTTTTATTTAGCTTTTAGTAACTTGTAATTTAAGATCACAGTTATTAGGTGTATTTCTGCATTTTATATATCGCTCCCAGATGCTACAGTATTAGTTTTTATCACTGCATATTTTATGAAATGTCAGCCTTCTGTCGGCTGTTCACACAGCATTGTTAGTGATCAAAGACACAACATAAAGAAGAGGAATCTAAACAGTTGGCTTATCTTTGTCCTTCATTGTGACAAAAATACTATAGCATTACTTTGTTATGAAAAGTCAAATATTGCCATCGTATACATGCAAAGAAATGTCTTTCTTAGTGAAATAAAATATTAAAATATTTAATGCAAGAAACCCAGTTAATAAGAAATAGTTTCTAATTTTACAAAGTTTTCCTTGATAAAGAATGAGGATGATATATCATGTACAATACTTAATACTTTGCTAAATGACAGTGTGGTGCCAAAAAGCCACATAGTGTTTGACATCAAAAGAAGTTAGTTCAAACTCCTAATTTTGTTACACAAATACATTCTAGAAAAGTGGTTATTAGTTTTAGTGTATGCATTGTTGAGTTGTATGTGATCTAATTTATTAGTTTTTTTTCTTAAATTGGCTTACTTTTGTACTTTAAACCTTTATTGACTTAAAGGTCTGTGTTTATTTCAGTGATTTCATTATCAAGATAAAAGTATAGAATGGGAGAAAATTTTCAAAGCTTGAAAAGAAATCTGTAAGAATAAAAATCTTGAATGATTTTAATCAGCTGTTGTGTATGCCCAACACAGCAGTTGGTTCAGTCAATTTTATGTTTTGGGATGGTTTTATTAAAATGAGCTGCTGCTTTCAGTAAATCATTGAGAAAGATACTGGCTTTATGCATGTCCTTTGGCTTGGGGGCAGGGTTTACAATTGCAGCTTTGTAAGTCAGTAAAATTGCAGACAATGCCTGAGTGTCATGAAAGTTTCTGTGTTGTCAGTTTTGTCAATGTGTGCATTTGGAAATAAAAGTAGAATGAGAATTTAGACAAAAATCTGACTCATATAAATGTACTTTTATCATACTTACAGGAAACTTCCTTTTCTAATTAAAAAGTGTTAACAGATAATAGTGATTGAAGTACCTTTAATTTCTTACACAGTTTTATATTTTTTCAAATGATTGAAAGTTATTTTTTTGATTGGCGAATTAGATCTCTGGAAAGCTTTTTGAAAGATAGTCTCTGGATGAGTTAGACCTCAACTTTTTGTCCTGATGTGTGCTATACTTCAGCTATCCAAAGTATCATCTATAGATCAACATTACTGGTGTTGGGTGTACCTGAGAGCTTGCAAAAAAATAGAGAACCTTGGGTTCAGTCCCACACCTTCCTGTATCAGAATCTGCATTTTATTAAAATTTCCAGATAATTTTTACAAACATTAAAATTTTTGAAGCACTGCCATATGCTTCTCATTTGGACCTCTCATTTGCTTTTTGTGTATATGTTTTAATTGTTGATATTGGATTTGGTCCTTTATAGTTTGGATATTACAAGAAGCACTGGAAACTCCCACCAGAACTTTACTAGGACCCAAGAGTAGGCAGATATTTAATATAGAATTCATAGGCATTTTATCATTAAGCAATTGCAATTATAATAAAAAGTAGATACTGATTCTTTGTGGAAAGCTTCATGTTACCCTGGTACTGTTAAGCAGGTGTTTGCTTTTTTATTTCTCCTGCCAACACTAGTGTAGTAAGCATTTCCATAGTGTGTTCTATGTGTATTGTCCCTAGAAGATGCCCTAAAAAGCATCCCATGATAAAATGGGCTTGTGAAGTACTGAATACTTGGCTCTCCTGAGGGGAAATCACAGTATACGTTGACATATTGAAAGATCTGAAAACCTGGTGTAACTTATTTCAAATTCAGTATTTTTTATATTTACTTGACCTTAGGATCTGTAAAAATACAAAACAAAAACAAACTTTATTGTTT